AAATGTCACCCACAACCCCAACTGAGATGGCACAAACCTGGTACTCCTCAAAATTCTGCAGACCCATCTCCAAATACTTGTAGAACTCTTGCATGTACTTCCCAAACTCGGGCCCAGTAGCATAGGCCAGCGCACCAATAGCGAGCATAGCCTCTTCATGAACAGTAGAACTACGGCAAGCAAACACATTAAGGAACAATACCATGATCTGGTCAGCTGCCTGGAGTATGATGGGCTTGGTTTCATCAGCACTGCTTAGTTTTTGAATAATAACCTGAAGCACTCCACAAAGAGAGGCTTGTAGATCTCCTTGCTTTTCCCTGTCATCAGATGACACAATTTGAAGATTTGAAGTCTGTTCTAGCTTAGACATTATAACAGGTAAAAGTTCAACGATCATCTGAGATGTCTCTGCAAGGTTTGAGCACCTAACAACCTCATTTAAGGTTTCATATGCAGAAGACCTGAGTTTGGAATCACTGCTATCTGTTCGATCAGCAGTGGTAATAAGATTGGTTATGATATCTCGAAGGAAAGGTGTGAGCAGAGAGGAGCTTGTCCCAGCATCCTCGTACCCCTGAGCAATATAATAAATAGCTCCACAAACCTTCTCGGCCACATGTGGTGCATCTTTTATACTATCCAACAGGGTCCCCAAAATTCTCTGGAGGTTAGCAACGGTAATCACAGAGAAACCAGTAGCTGGTGAGTGCAATAACTCAAAGATACGGCTAAGTGTCCAAGCGGTTGTATCTTTCACATGGCCGTTTGCATCCTTCATTGCATTGAGCAGAAAATCTAAGCCAGCATTTACCATAGGAGAAAGCTTTTCAGTACTTGGTCCTTCGAGGATTGAGCCAAATGCATATGTGGCTGCCTCACGAGCTCGCCACTCAGTCTTCGAAATGTTAGCCTCAACAAATGGCATTACCAGAGGCACAACAGCATCCCCAACAGTCCTAGCAACAAGACAGAGACATGTCCCACCAGCCATGGCTAGATTCCATGTTCCATCATCTTGGTCCTGATCCTCATCCTGCTTAAGCAATGTTTCTAGCAGCATAGGAACTAAAGTTGGAAGAGCCTTCTCAGTGAAGTGAGAGTGTGGAGCACTTGAATCCCCATTCTCAGGGACCTCATAGTCTTGAAGCTCCATTTCTTCATCACAGATGGAACTCCAAAACTCAACTGCCTGTAGGGCAACAGCCTCCTCATCTCCTTTGACTGCATTGGATGTAAGCTCAAAGATCCTTTGCATATAAGGTTCAAGCACTTCATAGTATGTTGATACAATAGAAACAAGACACTCAAAAGCAGCCTGTCTAATCTCTGTTTCTTTTGCCAATGCTGCATCACAAATCACCTTCATAATATAGCTCCTCTCCATCTCATTCTCAAAGTTGGTCTGTGCAAAATCAAGGGCATTGTACAAAGCCCTGGTTGCAGCAAGCCGGACCTCGGGATTTTGCTCAGTGACATTCATGCCTTGGACAACAGCAGTGAGAATAGCATTTACTTCATCTTGCACAAGATCATGGTGTGATATCTCCTCACACACATAGCCAAGTGTTTCCAGTGTTGCCTGTTTCAGGGATGCAGGTATATCTGGTTGAGTCATATTGCCAAGTAATAATCCAATAAGTTCTGGCCATTCCTTTCGGGGAATTTCAATCGAAGCTATCTTAGCAATTACTTGGGCAGCAGTATGACATGCGTCACTTACAGAAGATCCAAGAGTGTTTAGGATAAAGCTTTTTATCTGGGATTTAATAGAAATGTCTATCGACACCCATTGTTGAATGAGATTTTCCTTCCTTGCAATTTCTTTAGCATCCAAGGAGTTCTTAAGGACAATACCGGCAAGTCTACGAGACTCAGTTGGTTTTCCATCATTCGAGAGCTCAACAGATAATGACAAAAGAAATCCAGGTAAATTTTGGTCCCTGAACTGACCAAGAGAACTCTCTGCCTCTGTTCGAATTTTAGCATCTGGTGATTGAGCAGCCAATAGATACTGGGTGATCTCAAGGGCCATTTTCCCTACAGCTGAAAGAAATACTACATGAAGCATTAAGGTTGTCTACTTGGAAATAAGCATCTTCATCCCAGAGGTCAAACAAAAATTTGTGAAGAATGAAAAACAGTTGACAAAACGAACAATGCTACTTCCAGCCAAAAAATATGATCGAATTAAAGATTTCATCCTCAACCATAAAAACAATTTGGATAAAAATCCAAAATCAATCGTCAAATGAACATCAGAGAGTCCCATTTAAGCATAAGCAGAGCTCTAGCTATTAAACTATATCTTCAAAATGCATCATCATCAATCCACAATTTATCCTAAAATAGATTTGAGAAAAATACAGAATATACACTCGGTCAATCATAAAAATCAAAGTCCCGAGCAAAAGACTAATTAATTTCGAAAGAAAAGCACGCTAGTATTAAACCCTAGACCATCAAAACAACAAATTCTAATTAAATTCTAATAAAACTAAAAAAAATAAAAAAAAATACTCTCCATAAATCTGAGATAAAATAGACAGAAAAATTACCTCAAATGAAAGCCGCAAAATCAAAATAACTTCGACTTCAATTGCAGTAGCTAGGGTTTTTCCCTCTCCCGTCTTTCTCAAGCTGCTGCTTGAATCGAATTCCAGTACGAATTCTTCGAGTGAATACCGATTCCCTTCGTATCTATTTGTTATAGATAAATATATACAGAAATCTGTATGAATATATCTGGAGCGTGAGAGAAGAGAGACTGATTTCGAATAGATAGAATAAGCGGGAGGAGAGCGCTTAATGAACAATGGCGGACAAAATCCAACGGGCAGTTGTGCCTGGGCTGCCCGGATGGCCAACCTTTTAAAAACCCTAGCCCTTTTTAAAATTTCGCACGTGTGGGTTCTTTTCCGTTGAGCCGGGTCCCTGTATACATGGGGCTCACTTAAGGCCTGTTTGTTTGATGTAATTTTTTTAATGAAAAGTGATTTATTTTTTTAAATTTTTTTTGGGAGAAAACATGGTAAAAAGTAAGAAAAAATATAAGTTTATGTACAAAAAATATTTTATTTAGAATGTATAATTAAAAATGAGTTTGACAAAAAATAATGGGAAAATTACGTAAAACCAGGCATTTCAAAATTACAATTCAAAAATCAAATAATAAGTTTGTTTAATCACAAATCAGGTACCCATCTTATACATTCAAATTTCAAACCCTAAAATTTTCATCTTCACACCATATTCTCTCCTTACTCTCTCCACACCTCACGCACGTCGTCCATTACCGGAGACCACCGCGAGTGATTGCTTCCCCAATCTTGTCTCACTCCTCTCTCTCAAACACACACAGTCACATATCTTATCTTCTTCCTAATTTCTCTTCTCTCAAGAGTAGCGGCGCTGCCACTGGAAGAGGATCTTCGGCGTAGCGATGTTACCATGGATCGTTTACGCAACGACACCACCACAGGGTATCGTGAGTAGTAGCTGTGTGAGCTGCAGATCTCCTCACTTACTTTTTTGTTTTCAACTTTTGAGTGGTGGTGATTAATTGTTCGGTGGTAGATGTGTACAGTGCGGTGGTGGTGTTAGGTGTGCGGTGCAGCAGTGATATGCTATGGTGTCACGGTGGTGGTGCGGTGGAGGTAGAGGTGTAGGTGTGCGATCAGTGGGTGTGACCGTGGTTTGCTGCTGGCAGTGTGAGTGGGGTTAACCGATTTTCGTGTTGTGATAGGGATGGCTTTGGCAGTGGTGTTGCAATGGTGGTGGTGGTGGTGTGGTAGTGGGGGTAGTTATGATGCTGGTGGTGGTTTGTCGGCCAATGTTGTTGTGAACAGCGATGGTGTTTGATGGTGTCGTGCAGGGTGATGGTTTTTGTTGGTATAAATGGTGGTTGTGGTGGTGGTGAAGTGGTGATGACGTCGCAATGATGGCATTTGTAGGGTGTTGGTGGTTTTGTATCTGTTTTGTTTGTGATGAGGTGGTGCTAGTTGCGGTATTTGAGATGACGGGGCTGCTAGAGATGGTGGTGGTGGTTTTGGCAGCGGCGATTTTGACAGCGATGTGGCTGTTGATAGTCGTGAGATGGTGGTGACAGATAATTTGATTATTTGTGACCAAAAAATTCGCGTATGTGACCAACCATTTTGTTATCCGCGACCATATATTTAGTGTAACCTAAAAATTTAAAAATTTGTAACCAAGTAATTTGGACTTTGAAATAATCTGTGACCTGTAAATTTTTTTTTTGTAACCTCGAAATAAATTGTGACTTATAAAATTTTTGATTTGTGACCTCGAAATAATCAGTTACCAATTAATTTGATGATATGTGACCAGTAAATAAATCTGTAACCTATAATCATAAATTTGTGACTTAATTATATTTAATTAATAAATATTTTCAATTAATTATATAGATTCTTGAATTTTGAATTTTTAAACTATGTACTTGATTTGTGAATTGATATAAACAATACACCGGAATTACGATTTTTTCCCAAAAATAATTTTTAAAGAATTTTCATAGACTTAGGCGTTATTTGATTCCCATTTTTTTTCAAAGTACATTTTTTTTACTCTTTTCAACAATATATACTTTAATAAAATAATATTATAAGTAAATTTAAAACTTTTTCTTATTTTTAACTATACATTCTCCATCAAATCACTATACCAAAATGCATTTTTTGCAAAAAAAAAATGGATATCAGACGGGCTCTTAATTCAATTCTAATTTAATTTTTCATCCAAATTATATTTTAAATAAATCAAAAGAAGTAACAAAAAAATCCCATGTAGTTAAACTATAAAAAATGAAGTCTACTCAAAACCCTTGTTACTTTTGTCGAAAGTTTTTTTAATTGACCTTCAAATTTCTTATGCAAGTCGGATTTATCAAAAAAGGATAAAGATGCTTAGACAGAACTATCCAAACAAGGCGCCTAATTGATGCCCTCCTATTGGAAGGGGTGGTAGAGTGCCTTGGACGTCCAGCATAACCCATAAAAAAATAAAATTGTCATAGAAGAAGTCTCATAACTTATCTAGTGTGCTTCATTAACATCTTTTAAGGGGAAAATATTTTTTATTTATAAGTAGATCCCGTTTGTCGCATTACATTGCGGTGGTGATATATCATTGCTGAAGAGACGCCGATGCTTAAAATCGTAAAAGAACAATGGATAAACCCGTTACCATGCCATTAGCTTAGCTAAGAATGCACACAAAATCTACATAACAATAACCCCTGTATTAATATTTATAGAGCTGTACCACTTAATGATAAATGCCACTTTAAGAACTGATTCCCAAAATTCTGTACTTCAATTACTCTGTTTTGGCTTTGGACGCCATTGAGAGTTCATTACTCTCACAGATTTTCCCTGCACTGGACTTTTAACACCGCACAGTTTCGGCTTCAATCCCCACCGGAATAATGTTCCGAGCCCACAGCCCTTTGGGGAAGGGTACGCTCGCCTGACGCTAACAGCTCGAGAGACACTAGGATAAGTAGCTACTTTGTTGTGTACAACTGATGCAGCAGCCAATGCTTGAGCATCTGGTAGAAACCTCTGAATTATGAAATTAGGCTCCTCCACCTCCACCGCCGAATTTCTATCAATTGACATTCCAACATTGTCCTCTGGTTTATCTTTATCTTCTTCTATTGAATCTGCCAATGAAAAAATGTCAATGGCGTCCGAGAAGCAATCTTTTTTGCGATAATCTTGGTTGTCATAATCATCATCAACATCGCCATCGCAGCCATCGTCATAACTGGTGGTTTCTTGTGGTGGCTGCCACCTGCCCGGCGGTAATTTCGGCGGTGGCACATCAATATCATCACCTGTCTCCATGTCCTTGGGCTTTCCGGGGATTCGTTCCCAAGAAAACGGCACTCCATTGTGTGTCTCCCGGGACTCGTTTTCAAGATTTGCTGGCAACATGACACGGAAGGGACGCCTTGTTGATATAAGTGGGGCATTGAAATCCAGCTTTCTTGGGCAATTCCTCAGCATGACTTGTTTTTTATATTCCTCCATGTAATAACAATTGCAAGTGGTTGTGAGAAAACTTAAGATTGGAGTGGATGATTGTGGATAAAGTTCACAAAGGTAGTTGAACAATAGCTGGAAATATGAGGGATCTCGTGTAGTCAATTAAAAGGTACTTTTAAAGCTCACAGGTGTTCGACAGATGAACCATTTTCATGGCAACCATTGTCAAAGCAGCGTTGTGTCCGGCGTTTATGTGTAAATACAATTTTCATTTACTGAGAACTGAATTTTTTTTACGTGGAGGTGGATATAGGGTCAGTTCAGCTTAATCCACGCGACCTTAACGCTACATCCCTTGACCACACTAGTTTTGTGTCACTTAAGTTCTCACAATAGAGGTTAAGAAATGAAAACGTTGTAGCAATTTCAATACTTTCCTATATTTACAAGGTGTACTCAACTGAAATTCTAATAAATTTTAAAAGTTTCTTTTAAACTCAGTTGTCTCCAATTGAGGTTTTAATGAAAAATCCATTAAAACTTAGTTGTTCTCAATTGAAATTTTAATTAATTCCAATGAAATTCTTTAAAATTTAGGTATCGCCAATAACTCTTGAATTTGTAAGAATTTCATTAATAAAAGGATTTTAAAATATCTGGATACATTTCAAATATAATAATACATATAATGAACTCTTTTGAAATTTCATCATTTTTAATGAGATTCTTATGAATTTTGTGGAAATCTATTCACGTCCATGAAATTCATTAGAACTTATAATATTTTAAAATGCATCAAAGACATCCTTTTAATTGATTTTTACTTGTTCTCAATTGAAATTTTAATTAATTCCAATGAAATTCTTTAAAATTTAGGTATCGCCAATAACTCTTGAATTTGTAAGAATTTCATTAATAAAAGGATTTTAAAATATCTGGATACATTTCAAATATAATAATACATATAATGAACTCTTTTGAAATTTCATCATTTTTAATGAGATTCTTATGAATTTTGTGGAAATCTATTCACGTCCATGAAATTCATTAGAACTTATAATATTTTAAAATGCATCAAAGACATCCTTTTAATTGATTTTTACACATTTTAGCGGATTTCTAATTTATTTTGAAATAGTGTGCAACTTTTGGCTAAAATGTACCATTTGAAAGATTGCAATAATATAGCAGTGCGTGACTTGCTTTATGTCTCGTATTTCGAAATAGTCGTGTAATTTCCACCTAACACATCGTTCGATTTATGAAATCAAGTTATTTTGAAATAGTCGTGTAATTTCCACCTAACACATCGTTCGATTTACGAAGTCAAGTTAATTTGGTGTGAAATGGAAATGGTCTCGTAGCAAAAAGAATTCAGACATACATAGATGAATGCAAGACCAAATCCAAATTTCATTTTATTAAGGGTCTATTCAATGATCAAGCATTTCACACAAAAAAGAGATGAAATATAATGAATCAATAAAAATGTTAAATATTGTATTTTTGTTTATTTAATGGCATCGTATATCTTATATAGCAGTTAGGGCCAACAAATTCTATTGCTGAATGATAAATAATAATGCTGATTCCCATTTGCTTTCAATACAACATATAACTAAAGGCGAGCGTGCTAGGTATTTTTGTCCAGCCCAGTTGGGTGCATGTCTACTTGCATTGGGGTAGGGCCTGGAAGGCCTCCTTTTAGTGATATAACCATACAAGTGATCAAGTCATCATTGATGATTATTGACAATATTGTTGTTGATAATCATTGATATGGGTACATTGTTAAGAACTAATAATATTAGTATCTATAATTTCATCAAAATCATCAACA